GTGCGCTCGTCGTTCAGGGGAGCGCTTCCCGTAGTGAAAAAATTGAAGGGACTGATGAGACGGGAGGATGAATTTCCAGTACGAGCCCCAAGCTGACCGCTATTCTCAGGGATTCCTGGAATGGTTGGAATTGCGGGCTTTTCTTGAATTTCTGGAATTTCTGAAATTTCTGAAGATTCCTTGGGATTTCTGGAATACCAGGAAGCCGAAATCAATGAAGGCTGACATCAAAATGAACACAGTGATCGGAGACGGGGCAAAATGGAACACTGGGCGGACCAGCGGTATCTGGAATCTCTGGACTTTCTTGATTTCCTTATGAGTTCCTGGAAGTAATAGTAGTAGTAGTAGTAGTAGTAGTAGTAGTAGTAGTAGTAGTAGTAGTAGTAGTAGTAGTAGTAGTAGTAGTAGTAGTAGTAGTAGTAGTAGTAGTAGTAGTAGTAGTAGTAGTAGTAGTAGTAGTAGTAGTAGTAGTAGTAGTAGTAGTAGTAGTAGTAGTAGTAGTAGTAGTAGTAGTAGTAGTAGTAGTAGTAGTAGTAGTAGTAGTAGTAGTAGTAGTAGTAGTAGTAGTAGTAATAGTAGTAGTAGTCGTAGCCGTAGTCGTAGTCGTAGTAGTCGTATTACTTGTATTACTAGTAATGCTGATCGTAGTAGTAGTAGTAGTAGTAGTAGTAGTAGTAGTAGTAGTAGTAGTAGTAGTAGTAGATAGTAGTATTAGTAGTAGTAGTAGTAGTAGTAGTAGTAGTAGTAGTAGTAGTAGTAGTAGTAGTAGTAGTAGTAGTAGTAGTAGTAGTAGTAGCAGTAGTACTAGTAGTAGTAGTAGTAGTAGTAGTAGTAGTAGTAGTAGTAGTAGTAGTAGTAGTAGTAGTAGTAGTAGTAGTAGTAGTGGTAGTTGTAGTAGAAGTCGTAGTAGTAGAAGTAGTAGTGGTGGTCGTGGTATTGGTATTCGTAGGTGTCGTTGTAATAATAATAATAATAAGTGTTGTCTTTCTAATAATAGTAAAATTCGTCGCATGAAAACTAGTAGTTGCCGTTATCGTTGTAGGTGTGGTTGATGTTAAGGTACAAGTAGTGGTAGTTGCAGTAGGAAGTCGGGTGCTACAGTAGTAGACGCGTTTGCAGTCGTAAGTGTCGTTGTTTCAGTTGTTGGCGCAGTAGTAGTGGCGATAGTAGTTGTACTCGTAGCAATCGGAGTGGTCGTAGTAGTGGTCGTAGTAGTAGTAGTAGTAGTAGTAGTAGTAGTGGTCGTAGTAGTCGTAGGAGTAGCAGTAGTAGGAGCAATAGTAATAACAGTGGTAGTAGCAATAGTCGTAGTCGTGGTCGCGGTGGCAGTCGTACTCATAGAAGTAATAGTAGTGGTGACATTTAATGATAGTGTTAGTAGTGGTAGCAGTAGAACTAGAAGTAGTTGCTATAGTAGTGGTAGTGGCAGTAGAGGTTGCTATTCTGAACGTTCTCGGTGTTAGATTCGTGCGTGATGGTGTAGAATTACTAATAGTTGTTGTTGTCGTTCTAGTAGTAGCCGGAATAATCGTAGGAGTACTAGTAGTTTCTGTTTTAGTAGTGGGTTTGGTTGCTTTGGTACTAGTAGTAGCAGTTGCAATAGAAAGCGCGGTGCTGTAATAGTAGCTGCGTTTACAGTAGTAGGTGTAGCTGTTTCAGTTGTTGGCGCAGTAGTCGTGGTGATAGTAGTCGTACTAGTAGCAGTAGGCGTGGTAGTAGTGGTGGTTGTAGTACTCGTAGTAGTAGCGGTGCTCGTACTAGTAGTAGTGGTAGTAACAGTAGTGGTGGTAGTAGTTGTCGTTGTAGAACTACTTGTAGTTGCTATAGAAGTGGTAGTAGCGGTCGCAGTTGCTAGTTGGAACGGCTTTGTCGTTCTATCAGTAAGTGTTGTTGCAGTAATATTAATCGTTGTTGTTATCGCTCTAGTCGCCGTAGAAATAGTCGTAGGGGTACTAGTTGTTGTTATAGTAGTAGGTTTGACTGGTGTTAAGGTACTGGTAGAAGTAGTTGCAGTAGTAAGTGTGGTCATAGAGATGGTTGCTGTTTATTTGCTGCACTACTAGTAATAGTGGGTGTTGGTGCGGTTGTTATGGTAAGTTGCTATGGTTTCGTTACTACTCGTAGTACTTGTTGTTGCGCTTGTTGTAATAGTACTAGTCGTAGTAGTAATTGGACAAAGAGTACTGGCTATTGTTCGCGTATTCGTAGTGGTAATAATTGATATTGTAATAGCATGTGTTGATTGTAACAGTACTATTTGTTGCTATGGTGGTAGTCGTTGCCATCGTAGCAGCGGTCGTAGTTGTTGCTGTTGCTATAGTGCTCGGTGTAGCTACGGTAGCAGTAGCAGTGGTAGCAGTAGGAGTAGTAGTAGTAGTAGTCGTAGCAGTAGTAGTAGCAGTAGTAGTAGTAGTAGTAGTAGTAGCGGTAGTAGTAGGAGCAGTCATAGTAATAGTAATCATAATAATTGTAGTAGTCGTCGTCGTAGTGGTCGTAA